CAGCAACTCTGTTGCCCATTCGTTGTAGTTTTCACCCGTCAGCACGACCGAGGAGATCACCGCCCCTGGATTGTCGGAGCTCGCCAACGTATACGGCGACACCACCTTTACTTCAGACTTCTGCACCGCAGCTCTGGAGCTTGACAACGAGGAGTTTTCTTCTTCACCCGCCATATTAACTTATCACAGAAAAGATTGATTCTTAACTAAAGAATCGAAAAACTAGAACAACGGAAGACTTTTAGGTTATAGATCTTAGCTCTGATACCATGTAGAATTAGGTATTGAACTCCCTTAATTCATTAAGTTGTGATACAATGACTTATATAGAGAACCTCTCTAGGTTTTACAACAACCGACTATGACTTGAACAATAAGTTACGGTAGGCCTGGGCATTCGGGTACCCGTTCGGGTTCGGTTCTTTTTTTTCGGGTATCGGGTCTATTCGGGTAGGGGGTCAAGATCCATTCGGGTATTCTAAAAATTTGGTTCGGGTTCGGTTCGGGTTCGGGTCGGTTCGGGTATTTTAATAAAAAAAGCAAAATACCCGAAAATAACTAAAAATACCCGAAATATTTTCGGGTTCGGGTCGGGTTCGGGTTTTTAACTCATATATACCCAAATCTAACCGAAATACTCGATTTATCGAAAATACAATGGTTACTCTTTACCCAAATATAACCAAAAATATCTAAAATACCTAATATATTCGGATTTATGATTGTAATTTTAGGTATTTCGGGTATTATAAATATAAATATAACTAATATTTATAGGTGTATATTTGTATTCGGGTACATTCGGGTACATTCGGGTATTGGATTCGGTTCGGGTTCGGTTCGGGTTTTTTTCGGGTAGGAGGTTAGGACCCATTCGGGTATTTTTAAAAATCGGGTTCGGGTATTGTTCGGGTTTTTCGGTTCGGATATTCGGTTCCGGGTATTTTGCCCAGGCCTAAGTTACGGGCCTAAACATGTGGCCCAAACTCTATCCGTAATATACACCGATAACAACATTACATGTAATCTTGTTCATCAATGTTTTTTTGCCTTTTTGGGATTGTGCAGTGAACAAACACGAGTGCTTCTAACAAGTGCAGCTTATGTCCATTTGAAGCACTTTGATGCTTCGAAATATACCAGAAACTTGTCTCCAGCTAGCCGAGCCATTCTCTTGTCCGGCCCTGCCGGTTAGATTCCGATGGTCCGATCTTGATCTTGATCTTGAACCAATTCGTTTGTGTTTTGAATCTTAATATGTTTCTTTGCAGAGCTTTACCAACAAATGCTAGCCAAAGCCCTAGCTCATTTCTTCGACGCCAAGTTACTTCTTCTAGACGTCAACGATTTTGCACTCAAGGTTTCTAAAATCCTAAACATAAACATTAAGCTCTGTTTCTTATTGTGAGTCTTTCTTATCGTGAACCTTAAATCTTCTTTATTGTGTTTGCAGATACAGAGCAAATATGGCAGTGGAAATACAGAATCGTCTGTAAGCGGTTTACTGATTTCGTTTCACCAATTGTTTCTTGTAAATGATCTATATCGGAAATCCGTTTTTTGTTTTCCCGATTGTTTTAGTCATTCAAGAGATCTCCCTCAGAATCTGCTTTAGAGAAACTATCAGGACTGTTTAGTTCCTTCTCCATCCTTCCTCAGAGAGAAGAGTCAAAAGGTAAATCAATTTTTTTCCTGGTCAAATTTTATATTGGTTCTGCTTAACCGAGTAATCGACTTGGTGGCAAGTAGTAGCCTTCTAGTTCGGATTGTCATTGGTGTTATGACTAATACTAACATTGTTTGTTGATGAATATGTTCAGCTGGTGGTACCTTGAGGAGGCAAAGCAGTGGTGTGGATATCAAATCAAGGTTTTGTTTAGTTGTCCTTTACTTCACATTTTAAGCAATGCCAATATCCGTCAATGCTTTGCAATCAAACTAATACGTAATTTTATTGTTTACACTCTGATCCGTGATCTATATATGTAGTTCAATGGAAGGCTCTAGTAATCCTCCAAAGCTTCGTCGAAACTCTTCAGCAGCAGCTAATATTAGCAACCTTGCTTCTTCATCAAATCAAGGTTATTATATGCATCTCTACAAAGAAATTTGAACCTTTTAATCTTTATTCATTCTGACACATTGACTTATATTTGATCTTAGTTTCAGCGCCTTTGAAGCGTAGTAGCAGTTGGTCATTCGATGAAAAGCTTCTCATCCAATCTTTGTATAAGGTAATGTATAAAACTATAAGATTATAAGGTAATTTGTAAAACTATGCATTTAGGTTGTTTGAATCTTGTTTATGAAGATCTTGGAAATGTGAAATGCAGGTCTTGGCCTATGTCTCCAAGGCGAATCCGATTGTGTTATATCTTCGAGACGTTGAGAACTTTCTGTTCCGCTCACAGAGAACTTACAACTTGTTCCAAAAGCTTCTCCAGAAGCTCAGTGGACCGGTCCTCATTCTCGGTTCAAGAATCGTAGACTTGTCGAGTGAAGACGCTCAAGAAATTGATGAGAAGCTCTCTGCTGTTTTCCCGTACAATATCGACATACGACCGCCTGAGGATGAGACCCATCTAGTGAGCTGGAAATCGCAGCTTGAACGCGACATGAACATGATCCAAACTCAGGACAATAGGAACCATATCATGGAAGTTCTATCGGAGAATGATCTTATATGCGATGACCTCGAATCGATCTCTTTTGAGGACACAAAGGTTTTAAGCAATTACATTGAAGAGATCGTTGTCTCTGCTCTTTCATATCATCTAATGAACAACAAAGATCCTGAGTACAGAAACGGAAAACTGGTGATATCTTCTACAAGGTTAGAGATACCCTAACTTGTTTCACAAACAAACCTCTAACAGCGACATTGGTACTGATATATTCCTTTTTGTGTGGTTAGTTTATCGCATGGATTCAGTCTCTTCAGAGAAGGCAAAGCGGGCGGTCGCGAGAAGCTGAAGCAAAAAACTAAGGAAGAAAAATCCAAGGTCTCCCTCTATATACTCTGTCTTTATCTGAAAACAGAGGATTAAGAAACAAGCAGAACCACTGCTGAAACATTTGTCTTTTCTTCACTGCTTCAGGAACAAAAAGCTGAATTAGCGGCTGATATTAAGCCGGAGACGAAACCAGAGAGTGTCACGGCCGCAAGCAGCAAGGAAGAACCAGAGAAAGAAACTAAAGCTGAGAAAGTTGCCCCAAAAGCTCCGGTAAGCTTGATCTATCTACTGTTTTATCTACATCATGATCCGATACTTGTCAATTTTGTTAACCTATGGAACAGGAAGTTGCACCGGATAACGAGTTTGAGAAACGGATAAGACCGGAAGTAATCCCAGCAGAAGAAATTAACGTCACATTCAAAGACATTGGTGCACTTGACGACATAAAAGAGTCACTTCAAGAGCTTGTAATGCTTCCTCTCCGTAGACCAGACCTATTCACAGGAGGTCTCTTGAAGCCCTGCAGGGGAATCCTACTCTTCGGTCCACCGGGTACAGGTAAAACAATGCTAGCTAAAGCCATTGCCAAAGAGGCAGGAGCGAGTTTTATAAACGTTTCCATGTCGACAATAACTTCGAAATGGTTTGGAGAAGACGAGAAGAATGTTAGGGCCTTGTTTACTCTAGCTTCGAAGGTGTCGCCAACCATTATATTTGTGGATGAAGTTGATAGTATGTTGGGACAGAGAACAAGAGTAGGAGAACATGAAGCTATGAGGAAGATAAAGAATGAGTTTATGAGTCATTGGGATGGGTTAATGACTAAACCTGGTGAGCGTATCTTAGTCCTTGCTGCTACGAATCGGCCTTTCGATCTAGACGAGGCCATTATCAGACGGTTCGAACGAAGGTATAGTATAACTAATAATTTGGTTTCGTATCCAGTTTTGGATATAAAAAAGCAATACATTCATTTCTGTTTTCGAATATGTTTTCTTGTTTGAATTGAACAATTATAATCAAAACATTCGTCTAGGTTCTGTTCGGTTTAGTTGGATTACCGAGTTTATTCTTCCGCAGGATCATGGTGGGACTACCGGCTGTAGAGAACAGAGAAAAGATTCTAAGGACATTGTTAGCGAAAGAGAAAGTAGACGAAAACTTGGATTACAAGGAACTAGCAATGATGACAGAAGGATACACAGGAAGTGATCTCAAGGTTTGATCTTTTTCTTTCTTGAATATGTAGTAAAGATAGAAAAGAAGAGATCTTGACAGTTGTTGATTCGATGAACAGAATCTGTGCACAACCGCTGCGTATAGGCCGGTGAGAGAACTTATACAGCAAGAGAGGATCAAAGACACAGTAAGAAACTAGATTTCTCTAGGCTTTTTCTAAATACTAATATCTTTATTTTGGTTTTAATTGATTTTTGTTATACGATTTTGATATTTGAAGGAGAAGAAGAAGCAGAGAGAGACTACAAAAGCGGGTGAAGAAGATGAAGGGCAAGAAGAGAGAGTTATAACACTTCGTCCGTTGAACAGACAAGACTTTAAAGAAGCCAAGAACCAGGTGAAAACACACAGTGGTTTATATTACATGTATGTATGGTGGATAAGGAAATAGTGTTTGCGTTTTGAAACGTTTTAGAAATTGAAAACGCAGGTGGCGGCGAGTTTTGCAGCGGAGGGAGCGGGAATGGGAGAGTTGAAGCAGTGGAATGAGTTGTATGGAGAAGGAGGATCGAGGAAGAAAGAACAACTCACTTACTTCTTGTAATGATCATGATGATGAATCATGATTATGAAATTTGGTAATGTAATAGTATGGTGGATTTTTTTCCATGGTTAATAAGAGAATAAGAATGATGATACTGTATTGCTAAAGTTTGACCCGTATGTTTGGTCTTTCATTATGAAAGCATACTATATCGAGTGACTGACTATGCACAGTATTCCACAATATATACATAATATACCAACTTAAAAGATTATGTACCATTTTGATGACAAAAAAAAAAAGATTATGTACCATTTTTGACGCTTTGTAACACAATATAAATAGCACAAAGACCATAAAGAATCTCATCAGTCAAAATAATAAACATATCGATCAAAGTTGAAAAGACATGGCAGTATCAAAGACAACATTGCTCATTGTTCTTGTCGCAGTTCTTCTCTCATGTATGTCACTTTACATTTTTTTACTTTGAAATATGAATTGATATGTTATATGATTATGCATATGTTTTCAGCTTCAAATTTTCAAAAACTGTTGCACTTGTTGTACAAACGTTTATTTTTCTTTTGAATATAATTTAACATTACATTCAAAAAAAAAGAAAAGATATGTTATATGATTGATTGAACGAATGAATGTGTGTATAGGTGTGTCGATATCAAATGCGAGGGAAATGCAACATCCGCAAAATGTGGAGTGTGTTGGAGGAGAATGTCCACCAAAGCATCCACAACAATATTTTGGGAGTTGCTTTCGCGATCAAGATTGCCATAATAGTTGTTTCTCATTTTGCAGATATCAAAAATGTCATCATCATGAATGTATTTGTGAACTATGTAGCAGCGACGTGGCTCCATCACCTAAATAGTGCCACAATGCTAGAATAGAAACGATGCTAAGCACCTTCTTAGGTTATAACGAAGTACTATCTTACATTATCGAATAAATTTTCAAGAATATGACCTCTGAGCAATGTATTACATATATATATGAAAAACAAACAGTTTTGATACCTATGTCATATGTAAAAGCTACAAACTTTTGAGTGCAAGGAAATCAGATTAGCCAAGCTATTCCAAACAGAGTTGACATCAATTCAAAGGGTCTTGTGTAAACAAGAGAACACAGTAAGACACAAAGAAGATCTACCACGTTAATTGTTCCTCAGACACTCACCTTTTGTGGCTTCTCTTAAGATTTCTGTCTTTTCTCAAGCACATGTTATAAGACCTGAAAATTTTGCAAAACCCTATTACGTGTTACATATAGCATTGAACCATCCGAAAAGAACACAAGTGAAGAGACACAAGTGAGTCTAACAAACCATAGAAGAAAAAAGATCAAGAGAAGACCTCTTCACAAGAAACACTAAGACAACATATCCAAAAGGCTCTTGTCCAATTTACCAGCAGATACCATATTAACAACCATTTTCATGGTGTTTGCATCACGGCAGAACCCGTTGCTTCGCATCTCCCTGATAAGTTCAACTGATGTAGCTATTTCACCAGGTCTAAGGCATCCTCTAATTAGAGTATTGTATGTGCAGTCATCTGGTACATGTCCATTGTCCTTCATTTTCTACAATAATGCAGTTGCTTCTGAGATTGCACATTTTCCACAGAATCCAGATATCATTATATTGTAAGTTTGAACATCAGGCTCCACACCATCGATGGGCAGACTACAGAATAAGTCCCATGCTTCGTCCACCTTACCACCCTTGCACATTCCATGGATGATGATGCTATAAGTAACAGTATCAAGATCAATCTTACTCTTTTGGATAACCTCAAACAATTCCAGTGCTTCTTCTAGTTTCGCATTTTCGCAGAAACCATACAACAAAATGTTACAAGTAATGGTACCAGGACACACACCCTGAGAAATCATCTCCTGGAAAAGGTCTTGTGCAGAACCAAGATTGCCTAATTGACAGAACCCGTGAATTAGAGTGTTGTAAGTAATTGTATCAGCAACTAGTCCTCTTCTAGACATCTCGTGGAAAAGTTGCATCCCATCGTCAACCCTCTTAGCCCTACAGTATCCTTCAATGAGAGTATTAAAACTCACTATGTTTGGAGAGCAGTCCTTATTAGCCATCAAATCAAACATGCGTTTCGCATCATCTAGACGATCATGCTTGCAAAATCCATCAATCATTGAGTTATAGGTGACTGTATTAGGATATATACCCCTATGGTGCATCTCGTCCCAAAAATTTTCAGCCTCAATGAACTTCCCTTCTTTGACTGATGCACTGATCAATGCATTGAAAGTTACAACATCAGGATTGATCTCCATCTCAATCATATCACGCAACAATCTTTGGGCATCACTCCATCTACCAAAGCTACAATAACCGTCTATCATACAGGTGTAGGTAAACACATCTGGCACAATTCCTTTATCGTGCATTTCACTGAATAGATTTTGAGCATCGCAATGATGCCCGTCTTTGCAAAAACGATCCATGATGGCATTATAAGTAACCACGTTGGCTTTGATGCGGTTTTGCTCCATCTTCTTTAACAGATTCAAGGCCGAAACAGTGTCACCCATCTTACACATGCCATTTACAATTGTATTATAAGTAACAACATCAGGGTGTAGACCTTTTTCTACCATTTTATTGACCAAAGCTACTGTTTCGAGAACTCGAGGCAGAGACCGTTCATTAGCGTGTTGAATGTAATAACATTGGGTCTACATCCCGTTTCAACCATTCGATCAAACAGAGCTACTGCTTCAAGAACTCAACCCTCGCGGGAAAGACCGTTCATTAGTGTGGTAAAAGTCACGACATTGGGTTGACATCCAGTTTCAACCATATGATCAAATAAAGCAACCGCTTCAGAAATCCTATCTTCGAGACATAACCCGTGGAGCAGCGTGTTAAACGTAACAACATCGGGCTGGAAACCAAGTTTTGTGACCTTGCCAAATGTAGACAGAGCAAAGGACAACTTATGACAGCTGCAGAAACATTTCAGTAGAATATTGAAGCTGTAGATATTACATGGAATCCTCCGCATTTCAATCTTCCGATACAAAGAAATCGCAACATCGGGTCGATCCATCTTCACGAAGACACCAATTAATTTATTGAAATCAATTGCCGAATACAAGGGACGAGATCTAACCATTTCATCGAACAATTCGATCGCATCATCTAAGCTTTTGATATAATGAGAACCACTTGTCAATTTCAATTCCTCTCCTCCAAATGTTCCTTGGCTCAAAGAAGGTAAACTCTTTGTTGATATCGTACCTTTCTTTGCGACACGTCCATGAATCAGTCTCCTACTGATCAATCTCGTAGCAGATTCAGATCTCAAAACCCTAGCCAACATTTTTGTTGTTTCGCCTGATTTTTGTTTCTTTTCTTTTTTTCACACTTCTCGATCTCTCTAACCATAAAGGAGAGTGTGGATAACTGGATATAGTGTGAGCTCTTTTTTTTTTTTTTTTTCCTCATATAGTGTGAGCTCTGAGCTAGGAAGCACGGAAGCTTCGTCGGACGTCCGCTTCCCGTTTCGGAATCTTAATCGGAATCGGAAGCTCTCGGAAGCTTTCGGAATCTTGCTTCCATAACGCTTCTAAAAATTCATTTTGGAAGCTCCTTGGAAGCTTACGATTCTATTTTGGAAGCTTGCGATTCCATTTAAAAAATTTGATGTCACAAAATAAATAAAAAATATGATATATTTATGATACTTTTTTTTATACAACAAAAGAAAAACCAAAACTAATTTTGCATACTAATTTTGTATTTTATTTTTTTGAATATCATAGTTAGAAAAATGATAGAAGCATGGATCATTTATTAGGGAGATGTTGAAATGATTAATTGAATTAAATTAATTTCGAAAAATTTGAGTTTGATGATGTTTTTATTGGTAAAAAAAAATTAAAACAATTTTATTTGATGAAATTAGTAAAATGAGAATGAAGAATGATCTTAAATTTTTGACTTTGAACTATTTGACTTTTCTCTATTGTAAACGTACACTATTTTATTTTTAAATATAGAAAGATATTTAGAATTTATGTATTAGATTTGTATGTTAATTATAATTTTTTATATGATATAATGTTTAATGTTTTTTTTTTGGTGGGAAATGTTTAATGTTTATTATATATATATATATATATATATATATTAATTTTTATATACGCTTCCAACACGTACCCATTTTCTATAATTTCTATAAAAATCTCTTCCACGTTTCCAAACGCTTCACTTCCGCGCATCCGCTTATGATTCCATGCAACCTAGGCTCTGAGACTGAGTGTACTAAGACATAATCAGAAAACGACCGGTTCCATTTATTGGTCGGTACATTGACCGGTTAAGATGAATCTAGTCGGCCTGAACTCTGGTTTTACCAACTTAATACAGTAACGTTTTTTTTTTTTTCTTTACATCGTTAAATTCTGAGAATAGTTAAGTGGAAACTATTGAAGTTAATAACGTTCTTCTTTCTATTGTATTTTAGTGCATTAAATAGGTTCTTTTTACCAGGGAATAAATTAACGGGCTGTGTAACAACTTTCACTTCATTCTAATCGGTACAAGTCCAAATGCAGAATCATATAAGATCTGTCCTGATGTGAAAACAAGTATTTCAACGTTTTACATTAATGGTTGCACTAAACTAGGGGAACTCATTTATGTAATAAGTATTACAATTTTTGGGAAAAAGAAGATAAAACAATGTGAAAGATGACGAAATCAGTATAACATGTAAATCTAAGACAGAAAAAATGTTTAGAAATCATAGATCTACACAACTTTGCGAAATCAATGGCAGAAACAATTTCTTTACAAAACAATCAACATCTGTATAACATTAAACTAAGTTTGGAATATTTATAGATTTATCATAATAAGATTCATGGAGACTATAGTATCCGAAAACAGGATCAATTCATAGTTCATTCAAATTCAATAAGCTATAAAATTTGGTTAAAACCCGAATAAAATCCACATAGCAGAGATTTAAGAGAATAAAGGGTTATTAACCAACAGCCAAAAAAACAATGCTTCGAGATTTATATATCAATCTGGAAGAATCTCAGATGATAATGATGATGAGAGAAACTTACACACTCTCTAATCTTTCTTCTTGTAAAAGGCTCCTTTAGGGATTTTGCTCATCACCTTACTCAAAACCTTCACATCAAACTCCACGTATTGCTTCTTGATCTCCCTCATCGCCTTTTCACCAAAGTCATCTACTTTATCTTCGTACTTCTCGTAAAGCACGGGAATCGTGAAGAGAAGAACAGTTGCTGGAAGCAGAAAAAGAAAGGATTATATATATTAGAAAGAAACACAATTGGTGAAGTTTATCGATTAGATGCAATAAGAGTATGGATTGGTACCGATATAGATTAAGGTCAAGAAGTTGCAGGAGCTACCAAGTTTTGACAAAACCCATAAACCAGCAATCACCTAACACATATTTGCGAAACAATGTTAAAAAACAACAAGAAACCAGCAAAATCAAACAACAACATAATTAACAAAAAGCCTTACCAAAAGAAACTTCTTGAGATCTCTTCCTGATGCAATGTCCCTAAGAACAGTAAATCCACGATTGATTTCAATCCTTAATCCAGAAGCAAGCTCAAGAACCACTTCCTCCGGGATGTGAACTTCAGGGATATGAGGAGGTGACCTGAAATACAACAATCAGCTTTAACATGGCATGGTTTAACATCAATCTCAAACTAAAGATAAACAATCATCCATTAAACTTACTTGTGAATGAAGGTAGTAGCACTAGACCACAAGAACAAAACCGCAAGAGCAAGAATTGAAATGTGGCCAAAAAGAGTAAGGAGATTGTATTCAAGTAACTCAAACAAGATCCACGAAACAGTCGCAGCACCCAACACTCCTCCTGATACCTTCTTGTTCCTCCACAGGAAAATGTCGGCAGCTGAATCAAAAAATTGAATAAGATCCTCTCAGATACCAGAACAAGCAAACAACAAATCAAATGTATCCTGATTCTCTGAATCTATACTCAATCCAAGCAACAAATCAAATCCTAAGTCTAAAGTAAGCATACAACAAAACTACACAATCGATGGCTAAAATCCAGATCCGATAAGAAATAGTAACTAAAATCGCTAATCGGTGAAAAGAGAGAGGATCCATACGTTTTCCACCCCCAAAAACCTTGTGAAGAGGCTGTTCTCTTCCGAAAAGACGATAAATCTTCGTTTTGAGAGACGCAGATTTCTTATCGTCATCTGAATCGGAAGAAGACGAAGACGAGCCGTCATCGTGACCATGGATCTTCTCAGCTATCTTCTCCATGATTGATTCTTCGTGCTTGTGTTCTTCCGCCATTGTTAACTTTGAAACCTCCGCAAAAACCCTAAACTTGTTTCTGGTTTCAGTAAGCGATGAGTGAGAAACGGAGAAGAAAACGAAAAGACTCTTTCAGTCAATAAGAGCGTTTGATACATATTTAATCTCATCCGTCGATTTATTTAACTTAATCTTGGCCGTTGGAAATTAATAGCTTACTTTCTAAGAAAATAACAGTAACATCTTTTAGACGGAAGACAAACGACCGTCAAACTTTTTTAATCGAGCGTCCTAATTCTATTAACGTCTCCGTTAGTGTAGCGTTGAATGGGTCAGTGCTACGACGTCGTCGGATATATGAATCAAAGAACAATGCTACGATGAGATTTTATTTGGGTCAATAAGAATTTTGAGTGAAGGCCCAAAAAGTTATAACAGCTACTTCTTTTTTTCTTTCTTTTGACAACTAAAGATTTAACCCTAAAAATAAATTTTCACTCTACTTCACAAATCACAATGGGTAAAAACTTTAGTCACAAAAATATTGAGACTACAGTTTGATCCAAGAAAAGGAAGAGAGAATATATGAAACACTAATCTTCTAAAACCATCTATTCTTAAATGAAGTATCAAATCTTGAACTAAATCAAAACAAACTACGTTAAACTGTAAAAGTTAAACCAGTTAAACCCATATGATATATACGAAGTTGAATTAGGCATATAATGTTCAGGTGTTTGCTGTTTTATTACATTTTGTGAGCACATAAGTATTGTATAATCACTACACACATTTATATTAATTTTGTCACTAAATCATAAGTGAATATAGAAAACATGTTATTTATTCTGTTGATGCTTTCTTTCTGCATCTCATACTCATATTTACTGTTAGTCATATAAGGCAAAATCATATTCTGGTTATTGGTCTAATCACATTAGCTTTTTTTGTTTCCTTGATTTTTCTATAACTCACTGTGCATTTAAATGTATGTTTTCGGACCATGTTAATATCATTTGAAACAATATTATATACACATTCGCATTTAACTAGAAAAAAAGGTGTGTAGCTACGATTTAGCCAAATAAAATCCCTAGAGCTTACTATTGTGGCATCATGCCAAACAATTAGCCCGACAAGATCAGATTCTAAGGGTAGTATTATTCTTCTCGTGATCAACAGGATAAAGAGAGCATATAGTATAACTATCTGAAATGATTAGGCACCAAATAAAAATAGATAATAGGTTTAATCATTGAGTTTGACGGAAAGAACTAAGCTGCAATGAAGCATTTTTCTTTTAACCAGTAGTTTTAAGATTTTGTTAAATTAGTTGGAGTCAAAATTTGGATCACTCTCAATATATCCAATTCATTTACAAACCTATACGTTATATTATTAGGGTATCAATCTCAACTAAAAACTTAATAACTACTTTATATTTTGTAGAAAATCCACTAAAGCTGAATTTCAGGGAAGCCTATCAAACAACGAGTGACTAGCTTCTTTGACTTGCTTTTCAAAGTGCTTTGCCCTTTTGAATTTTGATAAAGCGAATTAGGAGGAAGAAAAAAAATCTGTTTTATTATGACGAGAGTGTGTCCCATTAATTTATTTAGCAAATCATGCTCTAAATAAACTTATTTAATGAAACATTAAATTATATCTCATCTATATATGAACTGATCCCATGAATTGGATTAAGAAATTAAATGGAATAGAAAAAAAAAAAAATTAAACGGATCATACGAGATCACGTACACATGTATAGTGTAAAGGGCCCATCATCTTTACTGATTTCGGGAATTTGATGAGGCCCATTAAAGAAGAGTGATAATGCGACTTTGGGGTCTACATCCATTGAATCTGACGGTCTGAAATTGTTTGGCAAATAATGATGATGTTAATAATACGTCTTGGAACTACAAAATATTGTGCATATTTTTTACAAGTAGTAGTAATATTAAACATTATCCAGATTCTTTCAGAATCAGTAATTTGTTTATATACTTTGTAGGCGACACAATCAATTTTGTCGATTCCCATTTGATTAATACTATATTAGAGTTAGTACTTACTTAGTATAATATTGAACTAATTTGTGTTTCAAATGCAAGATTTTTTTTTGTTTCAAAGTAGTCCCAAAAAGGTATATATAATGGATGTGTACTATGTAGAAAATAAAAGAGTACGTATATAAATACTTTAATGATCTCTGACCTTTTGGTCTGACTGTCCCAGTCTGAAAGTCACGTGACTCACCTGCTCCCTACGCTTAGCAACGCAACGCAACGCAACTCTTTGCCACGTTTTTTCTTTTTTGCCTCTGCTTCTTCTGTTAAAACAAGGCAAAAACAAAATGAATTTACAAAATAAAACTATACAAATTTATGACAAAATAAATTTTGTTTTTTATTTAATGAATAAATTCATTTTTAATTACATACAAAAACAGTATCCAAAGCTTGGACTTTTTTTTTCGTTGTGTTTTCTTTCCATTCACCCAATAGCTTTGTTTGTAAAACGTTTTTTTTTTCTAACTTTGCGTAAAAATTTAGTTTTTTTTGTCAACTATACTAAACCTTTTACTGTATCAAATCAACATTAAATTATAACAAAAATTGGGATTGAACTTGAAGTAAAGATTTTGTCCTGCAATTTGTAAATAAAAGTACTACAACTACTACCGTGTAACTAAAATTACTAATTATAGACTTATGAAGTGTAACCGAAGGTTATTATAGACCAATAAATTAGCGAATAGTTTTTAAGTACGTTTTCTTTTTGTCAAAATTGTTTCATACCATTTTTATGAAAATGCAACTAAAAGCAACAAAGAACATTAATATTATTACATTTATCTAGAAAAAATAAATTACTAATAATTTATATAGTATATAGCTTTCACTCTTCTCTCACAAGCACCGTAAACCGTTCTTTTTCATCTAAAAGGAGACTTTGAAGAAGAAAGAAAACATTCAAAGCTCTAAAAACGCAGCGTTTTAGGAAAAAAGAGTTTGAGAGTGATTCTGGCTTTCCCAACAATGGATGCTTTCAGTCTCCTTAACTACTGGAAAAACAGTGGTGGTGCTCTTACTTTCCTTCCTCAATCCTCCGACTCTTCTTCTTCTTGCCGTTACTCCGCCGGCGAATCCACCGGAACCACCACCATTGTCACTTCCGTTACCGGAACTGAAGATGAAGAAGCTGATTACGACAACGACGAAGGACCCTTCTTCGACCTTGAGTTCGCTCTTCCAGCTGAAGAAGACGAAGAAGAAGAAGAAAACACAGACGGAGGAGTCGGAAGAGAGGGAGATTCCGATTGTACGGACGGTGGTTGTGAGTTCAAATTCACTCTCTCGTCTTGTTCCGGTGGAGAAGATCGAGTAGATCCAGATTCTCTTGATGATGTTTTCTTCAAGGAAACGATTGTTGAAGAGGTCGAACCACCGTCGTCTTCAGAGCAGCAGACTTGTTCCGTCAAAGCTCCGGCGGCGCAGTTATCGGCGTCTATTTTGAAATCCGCCACTAAGCTTCGTGTGTTCATGCTCGGAATGAAGAAATCGAAGCTTATCCAAGCGAAATCAGAAGCTAATTTCGGATCTGAAGACCTCGAGAAGAATAATCCTCCTCTTCCGCCGACGTCACTCTCGCCGGAATCGCAACAGAAAAGTACGGTGACAGTTAATTTAAAAGTTGAAGAGGTTCCGATAATTTCTCTGTTTACCAGAGAAAACAGCTCGAAGAACTCATCTTCGTCGTCTTCTTCTTCATCTTCTTCGTCTTCCTCGTTAAGGAAGCAAAACGGCAACGAATCTGTCGTTTCAGACGAGAAACGATTCGTGATGATGCAAAAGTACTTAAAGAAGGTAAAGCCACTTTACATCAGAGTTTCACGTCGTTACGGCGAGAAATTACGACATTCCGGTCAACTAACCGCTCCGTCCGCGAGATCCACGGCGGAGAAAACGGAATCTCCGACGGCCACGAAGACTATTAAACCGGGAAACATAAACATCAACATTCCAGCTGGTCTTAAAGTAGTGAGAAAACACCTCGGAAAAAGCAGATCGTCGTCTTCAACGGCGACAACACCATCGTCTACGGCGGCGACTGTTACGACTCCGTCTGAGTCAAGAAGACGCGACGACTCACTTCTTCAACAACAAGATAGTATTCAAAGCGCCATTTTACACTGCAAAAGATCTTTTAATTCCTCTAGAGGTAATTAAATTAATTAAATCTCCTTTTTTTTTTTGTTAAACAAATTAATTAAATCTCCTTTAACAATTTCTTCCAAATTTCGTTAATTAAAATTTTGTTTTCTTGCAGATAAAGATCCGTCGGTGTTACCAAGATCGGTGAGTGAACCTTCCTCTTACGAAAAATAAGATAATATCGTAATCTTTTTTTTATTAGTTTCAAGAGAATCTCAACGGTTTTCATTTTCTCACATTAACAACTTATAATAATTATGGGTTATTGTAAATATTTTTCTAGCTTATTTTGGTCAGAATTGTAGCAGTGAGTTTTAGATGTTATGTTTGGTCATGTAGATATGATGACTGTTGGAACATAAAAAGGTTATTAAGAAGAAAAATAGACTTCTTCTTTTTGTCATTTTTATGTTCAGAGACAAAACTTTAGGATACATATATACACACAATGACACAAACCATACTATATAAATTGATTAGTGACATAAATGTTAAACGTTATTATGGAAAATAGTCAATTGGTGTTATTAGTCTGTGTCTTGAAAGGTTTATAATTTAAGAGGGGGAAAGATGATAAATGTGTCATTTACTTTGCTAGTTTAATTTTATTTGTTGTTGTGTGAATGGTATATTGGTAATTTGGAATGACGGAAAGAGAAGGAAATGTGGGGCTTTACTGGTAAGTGAGATGGTGAAAGTTGAGACAGAAACAGTGAAAAATCCAATTTACTTTTTTCCTCTCTTTTTTATTAATAATGTGAATCTCTCTTTTCTTTTTGGTTGCGATGGAGTATGTAGTACAAAAGAAGGAAGAAAACAAATCCATAAATTCCAAGTTCCCGTAACGTAAGTAAGATTCTACTATAATATAGAAACAAAACTTGGCTCCAGATCAATAATTCACAATAATATTGCACACGGTTACAAAATGCATGGTTATTTTTCATTGAAGTGTCTTATTCAATGTTTGTAGACAAAAATAACTTGCTGTACGAAAAGTAAACAAAATTAAATTATGGACGTTATAAATTGTTATTGTAGTTCGAAAATTAGGATATACCACTATATTTAGTGTTGTAAAATTGTAAATCATAGAAACGTGTAGAAAGCTAAGTAATTATTACTTCGAACATATGTGAATTTTCGAATTTTCTGGGCCAAATTGATCGAAAGGCCCAAGCCCAAATATAACTATTTTAATCGACCCACCGGTTTCAATATTATCCAAGTTTTTTTATTTGGTTCTCTTAGAGAACTTCTCCACAAAAACAAAAACCGAAAATACAAATCAACCGGTACCGAGGTTCATTTAAAACCATTTGATACTTCTCATACCAAACAAATCAAACCGAAGTCAATTTTAATCCATCAATGCCAAAATATACCTGAATTGCTTTCACAAAATTGAACCAACTCGTTTTTGTGAATGTGTAAAGCATCATTTTCACATTTTAATCCACTTTATTGACAAATTTACTAAACCGGCGAAAAATTGGAAATGTACATCAACTGACGTATGTACGTCAACGTCACTGCGATGTGTATGTGCATGAATGAGTCAATATGTGGGGATTGAGTCAATTTAATTCACCATTAATGCATTAATTATTGGAAAAAAGTCTTTGTTAATTATCACAATACCACCCATCGAATCACATAAACAAAAACATTTTTCTTAATTACAACTTTGATATTCGCTTCATATACAAAGACCACTAAATTTACAATATGGCAAAAGCACAAAACACCCAACACACAGAGAAATCTTTTTAAACCGGACCACAAAACCAATCACTCACTACTATTCACATAACAAATTTTGAATAAACCGACCGGTTAAATTAAGTCTCATGGTACAACTCATCACACTAACTTTCCATCTCCTTCTTCCCAAAACCTTAATCCTTCCTCTAACCTCAGCAACACTTCTCAATTCCAAAAACCCTAATCTCAAATCCGAATCCAAATCCTTAGTATTCAATAACCGAAACGAACCGATCTCAACCACAACATCGGTTATCCTAACCGTCTTATGAGCTTCAACTCTTCTACCCGCAATCTTGGTCTCTCCCACAACACCATGATCAGCGTAAACAACACGTAACGAACTATCCTCAAACTCAAATGCGCCAAAATTGGAGTTTCTGATCGAGATATCACTTACTAGCGTGGCATTGAAGTAAGGGTTTGTTGAATTACCACCAAATCGAAGATCTCGAGTGGATATTGATCTTGTTTCAATCTCTGGTTTTGAAATCCGTAGAAAGATTGAAGAGAGGATGAGACAAAGTGCGAAGATGATGACGATTATTGTCAAGGAATAGACTAGACATTTCCCTGGAGGTTCCTCTGTTTTCCGACGCCAGATTCTTGGTCCGCTCTGTTCTTCATCGCTCCGGCCATAGATCGCCGTCGGAGCTAACGTTATCCGATCTTCTTCCACCATTTTTTGTTTGGATCAGAGGAAGAAGGAGAGGAAGAGAGGAGTTAATGTTAATGGAAGAGTGGGTGGTTTCTTTTTTGGCGGTTAAAAGAGGGATTTGTGGAGGACACGTGGCGAGATCGTGTTGAGTTAGAGTCTTACGCGGTGTTTTTCTTTTTCTTAAAAGTCTTTCTCGGAGGGCTTGATTTTTTTTTGTTCCTTTAATGAGTTTACTCCTTTTTGTGTGTTAATTTTGATTTTTTTTATTCGTTTATAAAAGCGAGATAGAAGTCTTTAGCGCAGAAGTCTTTAGCGCAGAACTCTTAATAATTTTTTTAAAAAATTAATAACAAGTAAAGAAAAAGAAGAGAAGCTCTGTATAGTGGAAGGTTCTCACAAGTGTTCTCAAGAATATAAAAAATGAAAATAATAAAAAGTAAGAGAGAGATATGAACATGACTTCTAATATGAGAACTTTTGAGAACCTCTTGGGAGACTCATATCACACATGACAACATGCAGTTGGTTTTTAAAAAAATTTATTACTCAAAATTTAATTATACAATTAAACTAATTTATATATATTATAATAATATATTTTGAGAGACTTTGAGAGAACCTCCCACTACACATGCTCTAATAGCTCTTATTTTAGAGGCGTTATCACAAACCAACAGACACGTGCACCTTTATTAATGGTTTATCTATATTAAAAAACTAGAATATAATTATAGCATTAAAATATTATTATTTTTTATGTTTTTAGAAATCTGCTAAGGGTGTTCTTAAGACGACGTCAGAGATTAAATGTTTCAACTAACATCAATTGTTTTTAGAAACCTTTAAATTTGGATTTTTAGTTCTTTTTTTTTCTTGTTTTTTTTTTTTTGTTGGCTTTTTTTTTTTCTTGTTTTGAAAGCTAAAACATCACTTGACTTTTATTTATCTTCTGATGTCTTAATTTGAAATACACAAATTGGAATCCGCAGAAAATTCCAACTTTATTTTGACGATGACTAGTGGACCAAACCAATGGGCTTAAACGATTTCGCATTTGTCTACGATCTGGCCCAATGTGATGGAGAAATCAGAAATGTTCTCATGGGACCTAGTTTTTTTAAGAACAAATCAAGATAGGTCTATTCATTCTGATGCATTTTTTTTTTAAGTGACGCCGATGCTTTATATAGGATGCATCACATATAGGACTAAGGATTCTAGAAAACTAATTAAAAAAAGTGATAAAAACATATTCGATAATTCGATAAAAATTTGAGAAAAAAGAAGCTTATATAATACATCATGATCCAAAAATAAAAATTATTTTCAATATTTTTAGTGATACAAGTAAAGCGGATTTGAATGAAATAGGAACCATATTCGATGATCAAAGATAAAGATATGCAACCAGCCTTACAAAGTCAGTCATATGATTGAGATAGGGTTGCAAAAATGAGAAAACGACTCTTGAGACAAAATCTGAAATGAACCAGTTGAAATAGTAATCTTATGGTTATTTGTTCAAATGGTTGAATTCAAAAAAATATTTTACCTTGACGTATTCTTTTAGACGACTTCAAAATTTATATGAGAACTGTAAATTCTAGCAATTAGGTCACGCTTCAGCATTCACCAAAATCTGAAATCGAAGTTTTTTTATGGGTCGAAACTAATATTACACATTGTGGTTTTGGGCTACGGAGATTACGAGTTTTGGTCCAAAACCTCCTGGTATCCCAAAAAAGAAAAAAAAATGGAAGTTCTTGAAAGTAAAAAATCTTTCAGGTTTGGTCTCAAGTCTTAGTTATTGCCCAAATAAAAAAAAAAATAGTTATTTGTTTAAAAAGGCTTTAGTTCTTGCAGCAAAGGTCCAACTCTTGCTAAGTCATCATCAATATCAGTTTCTCACATAGAGACCCCTATTGGATTGGCCTTCATACACTAAACTTATTTAGGTTTGTGACCATAAACTCTACTGGGCTTTAATTATTTTAATGTTGTGGGCTTAGTGGCTCAGAAGCAGTGACAGTTTGGTCCATCAACAAATGTTCCAACATTGAAATAGAAATGGCTTTACATGTTTGTTAGGAAAGAAAAAATTGAATGGTATTGCAGAGAAAAATAAATTGGTGGTACTTTATTTATCATTGTATCATCCACAGGGGCGGAGGCACACTATAGGTAGTGGGGTCAGCTGACCCCAACTACTTTCTAAAATTCTATCATATGTCTTACCATTAGATCTAATGAACCCAATTAAAATTATCTCTTGACCCCATTGATTCAATCAAAAAACTAATTTACATATGAAAAGTGCAATATTTTTCGAAATTGAACCCACGTTCAAACGAAACCCAAAACAATAATACAACTTTTAATGATTTATATGAATTAATAGAGAAATAACAATAAAAAAATTTTGCCGCTTGAAAAAAAACTCCAAATTATGGCATCTTTAAATCAAGGTAATGCTTTTTTTGCTTTTTTTTTTTGTTTTTAAAAATGTCTTATACTTTTGTAATATGATTCGTTTGTTTAGAAAAGGTATGAATGAATGTAGAATGCAATTATAGATTTTTTTTTTTACAGTTTATAAATAATTTTTTTTAATATTTATTTTGACCCCAGTTAAAAACAATCCTGGCTCCGCCACTGATCATGCATGTATATGATTCTTGTTTTTCAAAGGAGACAAATGAAGTAAAAACATTCTGGCAGCGAAGGTCACAAATTTTTAAGATATAAAAGAGAGGAAACAAATAGAAACTATCAAATTTTATGCTTTGTACACCTTACATTAGTTATAATATAATGATAAAGATATTATAACTCCTTTATTTCCCAATCCCAAATATCCTCCCAAGATTCTAGAAACTCTAGTCTCTCTTTCACTGACTCCACTAAAAATTTAAAATGAGCAAAAAAACAAATCATTTTAAAATAGATCCCCCAAAAAAGTGTCATCTTCCTAATCACATGGACCTTATCAACGCATTATTTGCTTCCATCATTTATCTTCCCTGCAGCTGTATTGCACTTCCTCTTCAATCGAAAACGACTTCGTATTACAGTCTTTATCCCTCACCAAACCTCACCTCCCTTCTAGAATCTCTATTCTCTACTCACCTCGTTTGCTTACTATACAAGAAATTATAGAGCAACCCTAAAATATGACTTTTAAAATTTACTATATGCTTCTATCAAACTTCCCCCGTAAAATTCTTCTATCTCGTATATTTACACGTATGCCTCGGTGTATATAGACCTAGAACGTGTTGAAATTAAGCGTTAACACACTCACTTTTGACAGTGTGTTAACGTTTAATCACTTTGAATTAAATAGTGAAGAGATTGCTTTTATACTATAAGTGGCTAAATGTGAGATATTAAAGAATCTAGAGGGCTTTAGGCTTCTTCCATCTTGTCTTTTAGAAGTGCTCCTTGTGAAATTCAAACTTGGTTGAACCTTTTTGATTGAATGTGTTGCAGAGTTTGCTAAGCTCTTTGCCTAAAACCGGTACTCCGCAATAAAACACTCCTGCAAAAGATCAAAGATTTAAGAATCATTTTGATTGAAACCCGAATCTTGATTGTGATAGAAAATGAAAGCTTCTATATATAAAGCATGAAAATGAAACGTATTGCCCACGGATACTGAAAATGAATTGTGGGGACTAAATTGACTGAATCTTAAAAGAATATTTTACTTTTTGTGAAGATTGGAAATGTATGGAGGTTAGTGATTGTTACCTATCCTTGCATTGCAATGCTTGGAACTTAGCTTAGTGAGAACCTTCTTCCAATTAGGTCTTGCAAAGTGTGTCCTGACCTGAAAAATGAAGATTTTTTAAGAATCATATCTTTGTGTGTGGGTTCATTTTTCCATAATTGAGATTTTGGGGGACCGTTTTGGGTTATCAAAAGAATCACGACTTCGTTATGGTGAAAAAGAAGAAAGTAACGTACCCTAGTGCCAGAGACAATGTCGACTCCATTTTTGGCATGATTAAGAGCTTGAACCATTGTAATGAGAGCAGAACGAGCATCACCTTCTTCATACACACTTGTTAAATAGTTATGCATCTCTATCACACCCTGATCCATAAAAAAAAACTTTGATTTTCTCAATTTGATTCTTCTTGGGAAAATTTTGATTGTGTCAAGAAATGTTTTGAGTTTCTTTTTTACCCGTTGATCAAGTTCTGCAACTTCATTCATGACACCTTTGAACCAATCAAAAGAGCCTTGTTCTCTTGTGACCCAGTAGAAGTAAGCATTTGTGGTTTTTAGTATTCTTTTCCGTCTTGGCGGGTCACCGTTGCTTCCTGTACTGTGTTCTGATGATCTACTGAAATCCGAGATCGAATCCTGAAGATGTAAAATCATTTATCAGATTTCCAGCTGTATTATAATTGTTTGCACAAAAGAGAAGAAGATAAGACTTAGTTTATTACCGCATGCTCTTCCATTTTAACAATGTTGTTAAGCAAATCTTTCAAGATACTGATAAATGGAGTTGCACCAATGCCAAGACCAACTAACAAGAGAACATCATATTTCCTATAGTCTTGCGCCGGTGCACCGTATGGTCCATCTATCAATAGCTTTGGCAAACTGAAACAACATTTAACTAAACATATCAGCATTTGGTTAACTTATAAGTGTATGGTTTTGTTTTCGTGTTATACCTTTTCTTTGTTGTTTCGTCGGCTCTGAGAAGTCCGCTTTTACCAGCAACTGGTGGCTCACAAACTTCAGAGAATACTCTTTTGAGTTCTTGAGTCCAATCTCCGAGTTGTCTAATGTGAATGCTGACATAATCATCTTCTGGTGCTGAAGTAATTGAGAATGGATGCCTAGACCGAAATACAAATTAGTATAAGACAGATTATTTGATTAGTATCAAAAACTGATATGAATAGTTTTTACCATTCGAATGGCGAAACTGCAGGGCATTGGACGAACATGTATTGTCCGCTTTTGTATCGAAATTGAGTTGGTTTCGACATTTGCAGCGTTAGAACGTTACCGGGATATATAGCAACCTAGAAGGAAAAATCAAAAGAAGTTAGCTTTTTCTACAAGGCAATGAGTAAAAATAAAGAAAACAGAGTCCTCTGTTTTAGTTTTTGTTTTTCACTTACCTTAAGAAGTCGAACCGAATAAGAACCAGAACGGAAATACCTAAGTGTTCTTTCTCCCCCATAGAGTAAAATTGGTACCGCAAGATACATCCATGTCTGCAAAACACAACATCTCAAAATCAAAACCAAGAACACTTA